CTCTCCCGCAGAAGCTTGGGAGGCAAGCTGCATGCCCACCAGCCATATGGTTGACAGGGTGCAGATGGCAAGTGTGCAGGAGGGAAAGGAGCGGATGCCGGCAAAGCCACACAGCTCCCCCACTCGCTGGGGCGCCCATGAGAGGCTGGTGCCCTGGCACAACATGCCAGTAAACCCAATGGGAAAGACGGCTCTGAACTCAACTATTTGAAGTCAGAGATGGGGAACCTGTGGCCCTCCATATATTGTTGTTGGACTTCAACCCCCATCTGCCCTAACCAGCATGGCCAGTTATCCCCGATCTAAATTATTTCCATGAGGCTCTATCCATCCTTTGAGGACTTCCAGATGGAAATTTTTAAGAAATGCTAAAAGATTATTGTAAAGGGAAGCGTGTGGTGCTGTGGTCTAAACCACAGAGCCTAGGACTTGCCGATCAGAAGGTCGGCGGTTCGCTCTCGTTGCTCGGTCCCTGCTCCTGCCAACCTAGCATTTCGAAAGCACGTCAAAGGGAAGGTAAACGGCATTTCCGTGCACTGCTCTGGTTCGCCAGAAGCGGCTTAGTCATGCTGGCCACATGACCCGGAAGCTGTATGCCGGCTCCCTCGGCCAGTAAAGCAAGATGAGCGCCGCAACTCCAGAGTGGGTCACAACTGGACCTAATGGTCAGGGGTCCCTTTACCTTTACTTTAAAAGATTATTGCAGCAGAAATGTCTGCATGAATGAATTTTCTGCGCTATCTCCTAATGGTATACAAAATTTAGCTGGTCACATATGGCAAGAATATTGTCACAGAGAAATGGGGGAGTGGGGAAATCAATAGATGACCCAGGAAAATGGGAAAGCGATTGGCATTCTTAGCATTTACTGGTAGCTTCCTAATGATGCAGACAGCATGATCAAATCATGCTTTGGGATTAGGAAGGAAGGTTGTTCTGAGATAGAAGGATGTTTTTACTAGCTTTATGACTCCTACAAGTTTCACCCAGAAAGTTAAGATTTTCTACTCTGCCCTCGGATAGTTAACAGAAGATAAAACAGGTGAAGGAAGTATTTGCACAAATTTTATAGATGCCCAAACAGAAAACACAGCCATAGGGAGATGTGCGTAGACTTCCATATTAACCAGCAACTAGACTTCTTTACTATTTATATTTTGGATTTAATCACCCAGAATATTATGACTAAACCAAATAAATATTTGTTGTTCATTTTAACAGAACTGTAAAATTAATAGGAAAGTGTTTATTATCACTTTGACATTGCGCTTCAAAAGTGGATACATTTTGGCATATTGCTAATGTTTCCCACTGAGAGTTCTGTTTCTGTATTAGTTGCTCTTTTTATACTCCATGAGGCGGGAAGGGGATTTCTACTTGTATTGCTATGAAAACCAGAGAGGTGCAGGCCTATTTTACCAAACCAGCAGAGAACACTACCTTCCCTGGACTTTTGGCAAGCTCATCCCATGTAGCGTTCGGCTGATGACACACAGACTTCTTGCTCTGCAGCAGTGAAGAGGAGCCACAAGGTGAACTGTAATGAGCCATTGAGCATTTCCTTTCATCCCTTCCTCTGTGTATACTCCAGATTTTGAGGAGCTCTTGGGAAAGGACCCCCAACCCCTTTTCTTCAGTAAGTCTTACTTACACCACAAACACCAGCTGCTGCTTCTCTTCCTCACCATTGCTACCTATGTTGCCTGCTGACCATTGGGATTGGTAGGATCAGGTGGAACGCAGAGATATCAACAGTGGGTAGAGCCAGGCTCATCATTCACATCATACATTTAAAGTTCTGTGGTACCACTTTAAAACACGGATGCCACCTTAAACAGTCATGGCTTCTCCTCCCCCCTCCCAAAAATAATCTGGGAGCTGTAGTTTGTTAAGGGTGCTGAGAGTTGTCAGAAGACACTTCTTCTCCTCATAGTCAAATCAAATCAAAGAGTTACAATACTCAGAGGGGTTTAACAGTCAGTCTCTCTTCACAGGGAACTCTAGGATTTGGCCATGCCTGCTGGGGTTGATGAGAGCCCAGAGACATATGGAAGGCCACAGGTTCCGCATCCCTGATGTTGATGTCAATGGAGGATAGACACCTGGGATCAGGGCAGCAGGCTGCAGGACAGTTCCTGCAGGCCATGTTCATCTGTTAGAAGGATTCTCAATCATATCTGTTTGCAACTACTGGATCACAGCTATTCCACCTTAATCTGTCTTAACTGACACTATACATGAGTGTGATTTACTATATGTACAGTCTTACTAAAGTTTTCAATTCTGGTACAGTAGAAAACATATTTATTTTCAGACCTTTACATATTTATAGCAGGATCAGAGGGCAGGTGTAGATAAGGTACTGTACACCACTTCAAAAATATCTCTCA